AGGGACCGGGAGGGAATGAGGTGGTTGCTGCACCCCCACAGCTCCCCCACAGCTCCCTGCAGCCCCCTGGGCCCACCTTGAGGAAGTACCCGGAGATGAGGGCCCGCTGGATGTTGAGGGCGTTGGCGTCGGAGCCGAAGGCGGGTGGCGAGACCGGGAGCTCGATGCGGCGCATGACCTCGAGCAGCTCGGCGCGCACGGTGCCCGCCAGGCGCAGAGCCTCGGCGCACACCCCGTGCTTCCGGCACCAGCCCTCGTCCCCCGCGTCTGCAGCAGGGACAGAGATGTGGGGACAGGGCCGGCACGGCGGGGACAGGACGGTGGTGCTATGGGGATGGGGACAGGTGAGCACAGAGCCTGCTGGGCTGGGGGCTTGGAGACCATGGAAGTACTGCTGCTCCCCCTGCCTGTGACCCCTTGCCATAGTGGTGACAGGGATTGAGCAGAGGGCACAGCCCCCAGGCTAGAGCTGGGACCCCTCCAGATCCTCCCCCAGCCAGGCTGGGCACTGGGAGCGGGTCAGGAATGTAGCTCCAGGACACGTGAGGGGGGTGTGGAACACCAGGAGGAGCAGGGCACTCGGGGGACACAAAGGGCTCTGTGGGATGCCCACGGGGGTGCAGGCCCACACTCACGCTGCTGGAAGGCATTGAAGATGTTGATGAGGGTGAAGTGGTCCCCGCTGGGGTGCAGCAGTGCCCGCCGGCGCAGGGCCACGGCCTCCTCCAGGTGCGTGGACAGGGGCACGAAGCAGGGGGATGCTGCTGGGGGTGGGCAGGGGGGGTCACTGCGTGCCCCCAGCACCTCCCTGGCACTGCCGGCTCCTGGGGGCCACCCCATGCCCCACACACAGTACCTGTAAGCATGGCAGCCAGGCTGACCATCTCCTCCACGCAGTCGAACTCGCAGGAGGCGATGAGGGCCTTGGCCAGCTGCGGGTCCAGCGGGAACTCCGACATGATGATCCCCACCTCCGACAGGTTCCCGTCGTCATCCAGCGCTGCCAGGTAGTCCAGGTCCTCCAGCGCCTGCATCAGCGACTCGGGGGCTGGGGTGAGACATCAGGCAGCTTTGCCCACACCGTCCTGCACCTGCCAGGCCCCCAGTCCCTCTCCACAGGCAACCCAGGCCACAGTGATGGTCACAGTCACGGCTGTGCCACCGTGGCCCTCTGCTCCAGCCCCCCACAATGCCCAGCCCTCATGGGCCCTACCTGGGCGGTCAAGGAAGTCACACTGGCCCATGTCGGCGATGTCCAGGCGCTTCAGCAGCAGCACGAGGCGGCTCAGGCTGGTCTCGCTGACGTGGGGCGCGGGGCTGGGGGGCAGGCGCTGCTCAAAGGCCTCCGAGTAGAGGCGCAGGCAGGTGCCTGCAGGAGAGTGTTGTGATAAGGGGTGTTAGTATGTTACTAGTGTTAGGAACTTCGGTTTATTTGTGTAGCTATCGGCTTGGGACTCACCCCCCACCCCCTCGGCTTTTTCCC